TGAGAGTTTTTTAAGTGAAGGAAAAGACGCTCTCCCGGACGAGATACCAGCTGCACTATGCTTTAAAAGTAACCTACCTGTCGTGGTTCTGGTGGTAGAAGTGGTGGTTGTGACGGGAACGATTCCAGATCCAGGACAGCACTGTCCGACTCCGTCAATCTGTGTGCCGACACAGGCTGTATCAGTTGAGGCTGGGCACGCTCCGGCAGTACAAGCTACAAATAGCGATTTGACAAATGAAACACCACACGCCCATTCAAACCCATAGATTTTCGGCAATTTGAGAGGATGGCAACGGGACGCTACTAGTTACTTACTGACAGTGACCGCAAGCAACATTCGGCTCGAATGTTTTACTTGGGTAATCGGACAGGCAAATGTAAAAGATAAGTGAAATAAAATAGAATTTGGCGATAGAATCGCTACCAGGCGTTTCCTTTTACTTTCTTACTACAGTTTGTGACAAAAGGATAGGTGGCTCGACTTTTTTCGTAATTTTCTCAGCGATTTGGCATGTAGGCATCCTGACCGGTAGCTCGTTTTGTAGCCCGAAAAAAGGCGAATTTTTTGGTATACTGGACAAGCCTTAACAATGAAGTAGCAGATTTTTATAAGCATTTTAGGTTTTCACCAGGCCATCTCATTCCCAGGGCCGTTCGCTACACACCAATACAAACGACCCGTCAAAACCCGGCACATCACAGAAAATTCAAACGAAATAAAAATCGCCTTCGTTTTGATACTTTTTAACTCAGTTTTTTTAGTTCTTAGTATCATTAGACTCGCCGTCTCCCATTCTATAAAGTTGGAACAAGCTTTTTTTAAATTAGGTCTTATCTTTCAAGATATAAGCCTCCAAAGTTTGGGCCCCATACATTTTCTTGACGAATGGAGCGTCGCGTTGCTTAGGCCTTTATTGCCGCTAATTTTGGGCGTGACCAGAGGAAATCTCGAGGTATCGCTTAAGCTAGTCAGACAGATACTGGCCAAAACTTACGTCCAATGGCTCCTCCTGAGCAAGTAAACTGTGTCGTCGCCCCGTTATATAGATTAGCACCGGCGCAGCAACCATTAGCCGTGCACACGGTTCCCTGCGTAGTGCTGACGCCGACGCAACTGACGTTGGCGAGGCATGCTAAAATAAACGTTGTCGTGTATAAAAATAAGTTATTGCAAGGTATCAAATAACAAAACTCACGTCCAATCGCAGAAGTACAATTCAGGGCGGAACTGGTCCCAAAGAGGGCAAAGGAGAAAAGAACGACGGCAACCAATTTCGTAGCAAAATTCATTTTTCTTGATTGGTTTTAGGTATGAAGTGATACTTTGCGTTGCAAGTCGAGCCGATGATGTTTCCCGTACCATCTCATGGCTTTTTATATGTCCGGCCAAGCGAAAGAAGTTTCGGACACAGAGAAACAACCGATATTCCAGCCTGATACAAATGACAGGCCTGTACAAATAATTCTGGGTCTCTCCAAATAGGATCTGCATGGCCACGCAATAGCAGACAATCGACGTCTTTTTTTTCTCGTTTTTTTTCACTGTCTGTTCGCTCCAATTGCGGCGTAATAGACGGAAAGTCTAGTCTAAAAAGGAAATTCGGCATCTTTTGCAACAAACAATCCGAACATTTGTCGATCGTGAATGAGAGCTGATACTTGCTGCCCAAAATAATTCAAGGGGAGTTGTTCAAAAAGCGTAAATAATGCCATAATACAAGTTCCAAATGAAAAAATGTAAAAAGCCTACGACACTCGGGATTCCCAAGCCGTCTCCGATCCAAGTACTAACCGAGCCGAACGTTGCTTAACTTGGCAGATCGGACGGGATGCCGTGCTTTCAACGTGGTATGGTCGTAGGCGAGTGGTTGGGGGTTGGAAGCCCTGACGAAGCCGGGATGCCCTTCCACGGTGCTTACGAAGTAGATGAGGTTTGGCCTTGGTGGCTTCCTTCCCTTATAGCACAACATTTTTCTGACTCCATCGCCTACGACCATACCACGTTGAAAGCACGGCATCCCGTCCGATCTGCCAAGTTAAGCAACGTTCGGCTCGGTTAGTACTTGGATCGGAGACGGCTTGGGAATCCTGAGTGTCGTAGGCTTTTTCCATTTTAATTTATGAAAATTCATTTTTTTTTCTCCACTAGGTTAGCTCTAGTCAAATGATTTACGAGCCTAAAAACACGTCTAGCTCGTCAAAGAACGCTAAAGAAGGGTGAAAACTCTCTTCTCCGATTACTGTACTGGGGTGTTTTTCGTTCTTTTTTGACTCTGTCTCGCCCCTCTGCCTTTTCGCGCTCTATTTCTCTTCCGGGCGGCCGCGGAAGTTCTCATTACACGCCGTAAGGCGTTTCCAGCCCGATTTTTATATTTTTTTTCGCTCAGCTGTCGAATGAAACTTGTAACTACAATATTTATAGCCAACAGAAGCCGAATGAAGACAGCAGATGATGAAGTAAAGCGATGCGCTTACGTGTTACCGAAGAAGCAGCGAAAAGTCGGTTTTTATAGTGATTTTATCGAGCTTTTCTTTTTATTTCTTATGTTGCAAATCTAATTTTCAGTGCCGGATGCTAGTGAAAGAAGGGCAACTGTATTGTGGTGAGCATGCGGCCGCCGATCCGGATAATAAGGTTTTATTGGTTAGAAATCAGTCTTATTTGGCCTTTTAAGGATCGGATTCCCTGCCCAAACGACCCAAAGCATACCGTGAAGTTGAGCGAGCTCGAGGTACATTTGAGGTGAGTTTTCTATCGAAAGGTTTTTTTTTGCAAAAAATTATCGTTTAATTTTAGGGAACGCTGCAATTCTCGGCTCATCGAAGATCCATGGATTGTCAAGGACCTGAATGCCATCAACGGTGAAGTCGCGTCGTTTGCGTGTATTGACCGAAGGCCGAGCAAGGTATTTTAAGCCTCTAAAACTGTATATTTTCCAGTTAGGAAGAGCTTATTTCGCTCGTCGAACGGCTGGAGAAGCTCGAATCGATTGATCAATTACCGACTTACTCGCAGGTACGTTTCATTTTTATTGTATAGTACTAAATCATTCGAAATTAAAAAAATATTCTGTTTCAGATCTCCTGCCCGCTCGTCGACGCTCGTCTCGAGCAACAAACGGACCTCGGGCCCCTACAACGAAAACATCTCGTTCAACTTGGCAGCATCATAGGTATTTTTAAATGTTTTTGATCATTATTTCTAAAATTCTAGGTCATCTCACCGCTGCCGAATTGTTGACGAATGACCCAAGTGCCAGCGTTTTCGAACTAGGAGCCGGCAAAGCGCATCTGGCTTATTGGATGTCAAAAGTAAGACAGTTGGTCGAAATTTTACATTCATTCGAGGTTGCTCCACTCGCCCACTTTTTGCTGGTTGATCGCAGTGGCTCCCGGAATAAATATGACAAGTATGCGATTCGTGTAAGTAGCAAATTATCAAAAAAGTTCCGTTTGTGATAGGAAAACCCGGATTTGGTAATGACAAGGCTGCGCTGTTCGATTGAGCATTTGGATTTGTCGAAGGTGGATGCTTTAAAGGTATTTTTATAGTGTTTTTGGAAAGTAATAAATTGAGTCTAGGGGCAAAGCTCGTTGCTCGCGGTCCAGAAGCACTTTTGTGGCAGCGCGACGGACGCGGGGATACGCTGTTTGTGGAACGGGGTGAATCGAGGGCTCGATTTGACCGGATTCGTGTTGGTACCGTGTTGCCATCACAAAATGCGATACGCTGAGGTAGGATAAATACTTTCATAAAAAAGGTCATTTGTTAAAGCTACTATCCATCGATTTGAGCGATTCAAATCAATTCCTTTTCAGTATGTCGGATGCGCCCATCTTCAAAAATTCGGCTTCGACAACGAAGTCGACTTCTCTGCCCTGCGACACATATCTTCGTGGAGCACTTGCGGAATGGAAGAGGTTGGAAAACTACCTCAATTTTTATTTAACCACACGAATTCTAGAATCAACCACAAGAAAACACGGATTCTCAAAGCGAACCTAAAAAACCAAAAATTGAAACCCCCACCGAAGAGGAGAATACAAAAGAATTACCATGGTATTTTGACTTCCAAATACTCAATTTTTGGCCAGGTCACGCCCCTATCGCGCATTCATCGGGCGCCGCGCCAAATTGCTGCTTGAAGAAGGGCGTGCCGAGCATTTGCGACAACTTGGCTATGAGGTAGATTGACGTTAAAGGCACAAAAATACACTTTCATTTCAGGTCGAGATGTTCGAGTATGTAGATTCCAAGATTTCTCCGGAGAATCTGCTGCTGTTGGGCAAGAAAAAGAAGGATTGTTAAGGAATTAATACAGTTTTTTGCGGGTCATAATTTTTCGGTGATGTGGTTGTTGTTAGGTAATAAATCTATCTTATTTGTTTACTCAACCACAAAAACGACAATACATAGTAAACAGAACAGGAAATCGCCACAACGCACGGTTATTTTACGGAAACCTGTAAAATACCAATCTTCCTAATTAATTTTTCCGCATAAAATTGATAAATACAGGCGCTAAAACAGCAAAAGCCTACGACACTCGGGATTCCCAAGCCGTCTCCGATCCAAGTACTAACCGAGCCCAACGTTGCTTAACTTGGCAGATCGGAGGGGATGCCGTGCTTTCAACGTGGTATGGTCGTAGGCGAAAGGGCGTGAAAGATTGTGTCTCATAAGCTAAAAAGCCCCTATGCTCGGCTTGGTATCGGGGTTAGCGGGCGTAGCCCGCTAACCCCTTTTGGTTTGAGGTACCCCCCCCCTCCCCATACGACTCTTTTGAGGTCCTTTTCCGGATTTAAAAAAGAACCACGCATCGGATCGCAAAACTGAATACACCATCGGAACCGGCGACACTTTTTACATAATATAAGCTTTTAAAATTTGAAAAAAGTTAAATTTCGAATTTTAACAGCCGATTTAAAGAGATGAGGACGGCATCTGTTGAACCCCCCCCTGGGGAGGTGGGGTTCAACAGGTCCCAGCGCGACCGGCGGCGAGAGAGGGCGCCCAGGGGCGAGGCGCAGAGACATTTTCTTTCCCGCGCGTAATCGATTGACTTATGCCGCCCCTATCTCTTTAAATTGCGTTTCGAGGGGGGTCTGCGTTTGTATGTATGTAAGTGTGTATGTACGCAAAACTTTTGTAGTCGTCAAAAAGTGGCTTCCCATGGTCCGTTTGGGCTGAAAAATTGCTGGCACCTTATTAAAATGGACAGATCTAGTTTCTAGCGGTTTCGGCTTGCAAATAATTCTGTATTATGATCTATCTGCACTTTCTTGAAATTAATCTGTGGACCTGACCTGTGATCTGGGATGGTACCGAGTTTATTAAGGTTTTAAATAGCCAGCAACTTTTTGTTGTTCCCGCATTCTGTAGCATTTTTAAAAGTTTGAAAGGAATTTAGCTCTTTTTGTTGCCACGAGAATTCCTCTTTTTTTGCGAGAACCAAAAGCCCTTTTTTGAAAAGACTCTTTTTAGCCTTAGAGATTCACCCTTTGAGGCTATCACCGTTTCTTGCCGACTTCCAAACTGCACTCCTTCACCTACGACCATACCACGTTGAAAGCACGGCATCCCGTCCGACCTGCCAAGTTAAGCAACGTTGGGCTCGGTTAGTACTTGGATCGGAGACGGCTTGGGAATCCCGAGTGTCGTAGGCTTTTTGCCATTTCTGTCA